ATAGGGAATATATAAAAAGAGATATAGATGCAGCAAGTTAGTCTCATAACAGTTAACTTGATATTGTTGAGAGGACGATGATCATCGATTTGAATCTACGCGTTTTTCTGTGGGACAGACATGTTTCAGTCCCATCAGGAGAATTGCGGTGTAAAATTGTTACTCTTTGGATCCCTGAATTTCGGTATGCAACTATCCTAAGACAGGACTCGCTAATCAGCGGTGCACATGTTTAGTAGCGAACCGTCCGGTGCGCAGTCAGTCATAGTCATTCCAGAAAAGAGCAGAAAACTCTGTTTACGAAACATTTTACAGGTTTGGCGAGTTTCGAATAATAACGCGCAAGAAGCTGCGAGTGTGTGAAAATAAACCGCAGGAACACGCGCGTAAAGCCTTCGTTTCCATGGCAACGTGCGTCTCATATGGTTTATTTTACACACTCGCAGCTTCTTGCGCGTTATTATTCGAAACTCGGCAAACCCGTAAAATGTTTCGTAAACAGAGTTTCCTGCGCTCTTCTGGAATGTGTGACTAACTGGGTGACCGAACATGTTCGACAACAAACCGTTCGACGCCCATTACCGATTCCTAATTTGAGATTGTTGCATGCCTAATTATTATTGAGGGATAGAGAAATCACGACCGCTCTCTTTTTCTAAACCACGCAGAGCTGCATGTCTCCACTAGTTTTACCACTCTATTGGAACAATAAGAGCCACAGTTTGCAAGACGAAAACTGCTTCGAACTGTACCCTCGTGATCTAGTGAAGTTTTATTTCTCAAAACGCATATGTGAAGATACTCATGCCTAATCGATTCTAATGTTGCGTTACGCTTGATTCCGTCATGTTTTTCTCGGACTTTTCTTCGAGAGCTTGCTGCAATTAATTTTAAAACGCTTTCACCAACCAGACGATGCCAGCATCGTTGTATTATATGTTTAATACTGAATATGTTAAACCATTCCAGTCGTTATTATTAATCCTCGATTCTTTTATTCAAGGAAAAAAATTTGAACAGTTTAAAAAACTTTCAACTAGTGCAGAAAAATTGATTTCGGTTTTGGAAATACAACAGCCTCTTACTTTTTCTCCTTAGCTCTTTGTACTTATTCTTTTTCTAGTTTTGATACTTTTATGACACTTCTTCTTTGAAACTCATTGTGTAGAAAACAATTTTTTTCTATTTTTAACTGTATGTTCAACAGTCTTTTTTTATGAGGTACTCAACGTTGAAATGAAATAAAGCGCAGGAAGTAAATCGAATTGAGTTAATCAACAAGAAAAATCTTTTCAGAGCGGTTTGTCTATTGTCTAAAAATTCAACCGGCTAGTTGTGGTATGAGTCAGTAGTCAAAGCTAATCTCAGAATCGTAATCAGTCTATCGGAAAACCTATAGGACACTCTTTTTCAATGAAATAAACGGAAAAAAATTCAAAAAGAACACATCGGTATTGGACAGGTTTGAACCTCCGGAGTACAAATTACTACAATTTTAGACCATTAGGTTATATACTTAGGCTCAGTGTGTAAAGCCACACAGTCAATTCTCAGAAAAAGAAGCACCTGGCACTCTCACTGCTCACCAGCTCTATAACGTTTTTTATAGTTCATGTGAGAAAGACCAAAATTCAACAGTTTTGTTAATATGTGTTTTGAAATAGACGAGTTTGAGGAGAATAAGAACATCCTTGAAGCTTTAATTTATACTCAAAGCGTGAGGAGGAAATCTCAATTTGACAGTTGGCGAAAAGAAGACAATGATAGACGAGAAACTGAGTGTCTGCTAAAAAGGAAAAAGAAGCAGAAGTGCTGAGTATTTTATTATCGCACATGACTTATTCATTAGACGAAATATTGACACTATACTTATTTGAAAATTCTCTCTTGGATTCTCTAACCTGTCTGGAAAAATGTATCGATCTTTTTTCATCGAACCAACAATAACTGTCAAAAACTCGAGCACAACAATCATTGAATCTTGGTTTATTCCTTTCGATATTCTCCTGATCGTGTGCACTATTCTGGTCATTCTACTGGCTACTCTTTTTCTCTTTGTTATCATTCTGGATAAAACATGTCATACAGTTCCAATGATGTTAACCGCCAACTCATGTGCTTCGGCACTTATATGGGGATGTGTTCTACTCGGTGTGGGCATATTCACATTGCAAAATGATATTAAAGAAATTGCTTATCAAGATTCACTTTGTATTTGTCGAACTTATTTTAACTATGCTTCACCTGCTCTATTCCATCATTCAAAGTTATTACAAGCAATCTATGGATACGCTACTGTTGTTTATCCACATCGTTTATTCTGGCAATCAGCAAAATGTCAACTTTCAGCTATTTGCTTAATATGGATATATTGTTGGATATATCCTCTTGGATTTATGTTCTCTAGTGAAATGCACTATATTTATAATGTTGACAATCAAATCTGTCAATTACGTCTTCGATTATCTTTTCCTCGGATTTATGCAGTGTGTTGCGTTTATATAATTCCCATGTCAATCATTATGTTGATATATTTTAAATTAATTCGATATGTTCATGGAATGAGCAACCATACTACACCAGCAAATACATTATTACGTGCAAAACGTCAATTAAAAATGGTTCAAAGTAAAGTTAAAATTATCACTATATTATTAATACTTAGTTTTCCTTATGTATTATTTCTATTAATATCATTTTTCACTACTCCGCCAAAATATCATTTTCGAATTGCTTATATCTTTATCGATATATCAATGGTATGTGTAATAGTTGTTTCATTTCAATTCACTGATCCATTGAAAGCATCGATAATGAAAAGAATACAACGATCACCGAGTACGACGGTACCGGCAATAACGTGAATGAAGAAAATCGGACGGAACTATATGAAAACTTATTTGATGTTGTATTGTGCTGTATCAAGATATAAAATACAAGCGGTATAGTTGTTTTTTCTATTGAGACGATATGGAAGTTAAATATCCCGAAAGGAATAGATAAAGAAAGTATTTGTTAGTATCTTATCAAATCGGAAACGATACCTTTTTGAGTTAATATTATTGATAGAATAGAATGTGAAGAAAACAAAATACTAACTCGTAAAAGGATTAACGAAGGAAGGCCACCAACTGTTCCGCTGCTTTTGAGACGAAACCATACAAAGGTTTTTAAATGTATTAGTTGACTACTATTGTTCTAAGGATCCTTTGTATAATTATACCGAAAAATAAACTTTCTGTAAAGTTGTTTTGAAGTCCCGTGTCCAGTAATGAAATGTCCACACATGTGGACTTTAGGGGAAAATACTAACTTTTAAACATATACACATTTCTTCTTTCGCTTTTTTTCTTGTAAGATACAGAATTTTATTTGTCGTTGTTTTGCCCTCGTTGGATAAAGCAAATCGCGTTGAATAGGAAAAACTTAATCCCCGAATTTTGGACCACATTTATTAGTTAAAACATTTTATCGATTCTTCAAAAACAGGTAAAAATAGGCAAAATTTGGATAAAACTCAAAATTCAACCATTCATTCTATTTTTAAAATTCCAGAATGGAAAACAGATTTTGAAAATTTTAAAACTCAAATTGACTTGGAGAACCATTGAAGACAGAATGGTAAAAAGCCCGTTGATCAATCTTGTAAATCTATCTAGTCCTATGATTTCGAAGATAAAATTTTCTTTCATACTTCATTCTAAATAATATCCTTATGCGAGAAAAATGTATGTATCGATAATGAAAAATTCTACTTCGTTGTCGAAAAATTCAATTTTTATGAATTCAATGACGAACTCTTTGAAATTGGGACTGCCTTTGCCATTCTCTCATCAAATTTCACTATTTCGATAAAGACAAGGTTATATTCGGAATCAGGATCAGAAACGATAGATAGATAACTGCAGTAGAACAGTAGCGGTAGTAACGGTTAAGGTAGTACCGGTTTCGGTAAACCGGTAAACTATCGCTACCGTTGCATGCCTGGTCCAGTCGATACGTAGGAGAAAAATGTTCTGAATGCTCGCTACTGCGAAAATACATTTTTGCATTTACCACCTTTTTCTTTCAGATCGGATAAATAATCATGGGAGTAATGACTTCCTTCCAAATATTGCGAAGCATAGCAAAACAGGTCACTTTTCCTGAAGGTGGTTTACAAGGAAACGGAATGCATCAGTCGATGGGGAATTTAATGAGGATTCCAGATATGCTATCCCTTTTCCTGGACAACTCTTAATTTTTGAGAAAGTAACGAAAAACTGTTTTTGCGTGGAAACTAGCGCTTTTTATTCTATTCTCCCATTTTTTTATCGGCATATTTCTGCATATGTCTTTTCTTCTCTGATTCTCTTTCTTTTGTGTATTGTCGGGATGAATGGAGTGAACGAAAAGAGAACAGACACATATACTTTATATTAAACGTTGATCTGTACAGCTATACTTTAGTGGGAATATTCATTTACTTTTGTATCCAAGAAAATTTCTTCACTATGATTCTCTTAAGCTTTATTGAAAAGAAAAAAGTTAGAAAAGATCAGTACAATAATGAGGAGAAGGAGGCGAACCCATTGCCCCAAGCAAAAAAATGCCTTTGAGATTATCTAGCTATAAAAATATGTTATCGGGCAATATCGGCTTGTGATAGCTAGCTATCCGTACCACTTTTATTGAGTTAGCTAGCGACTAGATATCGTACCCGATATATCGGGTTGACGAAAAACACTGATCAGAGTAGCTATTTAGTCGATATATTGATCGATTATTGCCCGATATATTGTGGACAGTGTCTGATGCCACTGC